ATCCAGAAGGCACTTCATCTTCCTCCACAGTCAGCCATGTGAGCTCACAGTGCACTGATTGTACCTGTTTTGCTCCGCAGCCGAGAGCGTATGCGGTGAATCACGCCACTGCCTTCGGAGGTCGGGACACCGTGAAGGTGCTGATGGCACTGCTGGACGAAGAAGCCCTGACGCCGCCGTGTGCCAACAAGGCGGACCTGTTGTCTGAGGAGCAGCCCGACCTCTGTGGAGCTGAGGGAACATGTGTCCTCACGTTGTTCAGGTTGGTCGCAGCATGCAGTAACTGGCATTAGATTGAAATAGCCTTTTGTGTTTTTAATAGTGCAGTATATTTTTTTTTATAGGTAACGGTTATATCAAATGCAGGTTTTCAGAGGATGGAAATCTCAATCTGTTGGGCTCATCACTTTGGTCCAGAATAAAACATTTCCATGTCTATTGGATGGATTTTTTTACATCCATTGTTTCCAGATGATGAATCCTAATAATTATCCTTTGGCTGTTTTCATCTAGCGCCATCGTCAAATATGTGGTTCATTACCAAAAACCATTGAAAATCATCATCCTGCTACATTCAGATGAGAAGATGACAGTGGAAATCGTGAACTACAGAATATTGTGCTACTTTCCTAATATTAAAAAAACAATTCCTCATTGGCACTAAACGTGAACTGCAGCTAAAGGTGATGTAGTTCACATTTAGCACCAATTAGCAAGTGTTACCATGCAAGCATATGAACATCTGATCATGTTACATAACTCAACTAAGTACAGCCTCACATACACTTTAAATATTAGGAGATACTTTTACTTTCTTATGCCATTCATTGCCAGTTCCAGCTTCTTAAATTTGTGGTGATTGGACATTTAATCACTGGAGGCTTTAAGCGGAACATCTTAAGTTTCAGGGAATTGTGACATTTCTAATATTTTTCTGATACTTTAAGATATTTTTGTAAACAGATAAATCGACAATGAAACTCAATCTGTAGTTGTTGCGGAGGAGGATTATAACTTGCAGAAAGTATTTTCACTTTTAAAAAATTCATCACACATTGATTTAGAACTGACCATTTTCACTACGAGAAGGATTCAGTCAGTGTGGGAAAGCCCCTGCAACAGCAATTAAAGCATCATGAGACCTACAACTCTCCACTGAAACCATATGGAGGAAAATCCTCCCACACCACACTGGAACAATTTCTCTGGTCAAACGTCTGTGGTTGGAGGAGGAGGGGGGGGGGGCTACATTATGTCGGAGGTGGATGACATGGAATGGCTCACATCCAATTTGTTGTAAAAACCAAGCATCAACTCAAATCTACGTTAGTGTGACCGTAACCTTCTCGGTAAACATCATTTATAAACTCTTTGCTTTTCCTCACGACTCGCTCCACAGGTCTCCTGAAGTGTCCACTGGAAGTTCTCCACAACCCCTAAAGAACCGGGTCCAGAGCCGACTGGACCTGCTCAAACCCAAGGTAACGTGGGGCCCCTCCGTCCTCCGGCGCCAAATCTTAACCATCACTTACTTCAAATTGAATCAGATGTGCAAACATTGAAAATAATGTCTTTATATCCTGTAATTTCTCCTCGGTATTATTATTTATTTGCTTAGCTGAAGCTCACATCTTAACTGACTTCCACCGTTCTCGTTTGCACAGCTGTGCTTTAGCTCTTAGTGTTGGTTTGAGGGTGATGTTTAAATCCGTGTCATAAAATGACTTATTCGAGGGGAATTCAGACCATTAACCAATCCCGATGATACGCTCCCTGTTACTTAAAGTTCACAGAGCGGCACACTGTACACCTGATGTCAGTTTCTCCTGTTTACTTCCTCTTTACCTTGATGTTTTCTGTCTGTTGCCAGTTTTAAGATCTGCCGTTGCAATTTTATGTTGTTTTTTTTTAGCAAAAAAAGATTCGTCCATCGAACTTCAATACATCTAATATGCTGCCACACGGAGAAGCTTTCCCATTAATCTGTTAGAGTTGCATTGTGGGTAATGTAGGTATGAAGTCTGGTTCTGCTGCATTGATTTTGATCATTTTCCAAACTGCCCCCCAATGTTACAGGAGTGTAAATCCACAAATATATAATATGTGCTTGTATATTGTTATTGGGTTTTTAAAACTCAAAAATCCAGTATCTGTTGGATATACAGCTACAGCTTTATGCTCCTTATATGCAACCACATCCGTCATAGTCGTCCAATAACATAATTTTTATAATATTACTCTGAAAGGGCCCATTATATTATTATTTCCAGATAATAATAATATGTGAATAAAATATGAATACACGACTTGTAGTTGTTTTTTACGGTGCGGTTTTGCTACATTTACTTAAGCATCTGTGCTTTCCTCCCCCACTGCTGAGTCACCACACAAACACTGACAACATTAGCTTTAGGTCTTGAGGTAGGACTGATCTTTTAACTTTAAGTAGCTCCGCTGTGTGAACTCCTTTTGAACATGTATGCGAAACACATTTTGTTAAATGGCTCCTTTATTTGATTGCGCTAGCAGATGTCATTTTAGCTCCCCACAATCTGGCTGCCTTCCTGTTTGAGTGCGCTGTAATGGTCCCTGGGCAGCTCACCGCTTCCTGAACTCGGTGAGCGGAAGCTTTCTGCATCAATTTCACTTTGAAGATGCCATATCAGTCGCGTAACTCGACTAGCAAGGGAAACTTGAAAGGTTATTGTTTCCTGTTGTCTGCTGAAAGACTTTATCCCATACTTCTCCAGCGGTTTCATCATGCGCTGACGTCAACTGGCACACACAGATATGGACAGATCTAGTTTCTGCTTTTGGGGCATTTCCAGATATTTTCCTCCGTGCCACAGATGATCCAAACATTGGAAAACAACCTGGAGTAAAGCACCTAATGCCAATTTATTGCTGCTCTCCTGCTATATTGGATGTGGTATTTGTGGGGAGACTCATTTGATTACGTGCTACAGAATATACGTTTATTTCCTGAGTGAGTCTGTGGTGATAAACGTAATGGCTGCACCTGTTACCCGTTCTCACTTCTATCACCTGCGCGTGAGAACACAGGTCGAGCTGCACAAAGCAGCAGAAATAGCTTGCACCTGGTTCTGGAAGCGCTATCAGGAATGTCCTGGTCAGGTGTCTGCGGCGTCTGGTCAGGCGGTGCGCGGGGTTATTCCAGGAGAGTCATCTGCAGAGGAATGAGGACTGTCTGACCTCACGGTGCCATGTAGGGCTCCCACCTGTTGTAATTGGATTAGATGTTCTCCGTCAGTCATGGTTTGGCCGTGTTCACTCTTCCATCCCCTCCCATTGTTTCCGGGGCATTTCAGATATTTTTTATTAGCATGCAACCGGGGCAGCGCACATTTTTGGCTCCGTTGTTGAAGTGTGCCCGGGCCTTAAGGTTGCCGTTGTTTTAGGTGCTCTTTTAAGAAGAAATTTAGAAAAGCACAAAGGCTTTGATCCCTTTGTGCTTCGCAGGCCCACCCAGCTTTGCTCTCTGCATTTTTTCCCTCAGATTTCTCCTCCCCACTGTGGCCCACTGGCCTGAAGGGTGAAATCCTTGGATTGTGATAATCCCAGGCAGGCGTAGATCAAACAGTGGATGAAAAGCTGTGGATCTGCGTGCCCCGGGGCCAGGATTGAAGCCTTCAGTATCATTCACTTTGTTATGTCTAACTAGACGGTCCAAAAAGGCTTTTTAATGAGGAGCTGCGCCTCCGTCTAAGAAATATAAGTGATAGCTGTGGGTACTGTTTGATGTGAAAGTCGGAATTATGCATGATTTATCAACCTTTATCATGACTAAGGAACTCATCAGGTGCCAGTGATCATCAGAAATGGTCACGTTGTCAAAATACAAAAAAGCTCATACCGCCGCAGAGACCCAGACAGAATGTTTTTAAAGCAGGAAACTTCCACCCTTCATCTTCAACCATGTCCCCGGATCATATCAGCTGCATCAAAGTTATTTTTGTGCTCATTCCAGGCCAAAGACAAAGTCATCCGATCCCAGTTTGCATGCACGTACAAAGATGAGGAGCTGCCGCTCAACCGCGTGCTGGAGTTCCCCAGCAGCAGTCAGGTTCCCACCTGCGTGCACCCTGCACCCAAAGTCAAGACCTCTCCAGCTGTGGATGAGGAGAGCTGCTCTGGGGTGGTGGGAAGAAGCACAGGTACAAACTCAAATTTTGTTTCTGGAAGTACTACGAGTACTTTTTGTACTAGTCGAGCAGCGTTTTCTTTCTGCTGGGATATATTTCTGTTTCCTCTGACACCACACAGCTGGACTGAGGCCCAGACTCACCTTCTCAGCTCCAGCCTTGAACCCTGTACAGTCCCAGCCCTGGGACTAGTACTTACCATTAGCCATTAAATGAATCCCCGTTCTATAAAACCTGCACACCCCCACATCTGTAGTAAAAACCAAAAACACACTCACACACTCACACAGACCATTTCCCCTCCTGTCTTTTGTTTCAGGGGAATTCAGGCTCTGCTCCATCAGGTTACATGACAAATGTTAAATTTTAACTTCATAGACTAAACACAGAGCCTGCTTCAACTAGCAGCTAACGTCAGCAATTTCGTCACATCATTTTCCTTTTTTTTTTTTTTTTTTTTTTTTTTTTTTTTTCCAGTCAAGCCTCCCCCCGAATGTCCAAATAAGGAGCAGAGTGGCAAACAGCAGGGGGCTGCGCTCAAGCCAAGAAGTGGAAATGCCCCAACCAGAGGTGCAGGCCCGGGCAATGGACAGAAAACCAGAGATAACATGCAAAGCAAGGGCAACAAGAGGAAGCAGCTGGATTCTGACCAACATGGAGGATCAGAGAACCAGCCGCCGGAGAAGAAACGAACCACAAGTGTCTCTGTCAAAATGCCTGCCAAGAATGTCGGCAAGGCCTCGAGTAAGAAGAAGCTGATATCTGGACAGGGGAAGCTAACCAGCTTCTTCAGAGTCTAATCATGTGCACATTATTTTGTCAAATGGAGTTGATTCCTTTTTTTTTTTTTTTCAGACTGATTATGATTGTTTCCTTTTTCTTATCTCTTCTAAACTCTTGACTTTGACAGTGTGGTCATCAAAATGTCCAACTATTTTTATTTATTACTTCCATCTAGTATCAGGAAAGGGTCGAAACTATAACATTCACAGTTAGAGTTGTGATTTGCTTTGTTTTTTTTATCACTTTGAGAAGCAGGAAGTGGTAAATATTTGCAGTTTCTGTTTTGATAAATGACTCTATTGATTAATTTATCAGGAAAATGTAGAAATGTAAGTGGCTTCAACTTGAATAGATGGTTTTGGTCAGTAAATGTGGGTTCATCACTACTTCCATAGTCTATTAATCTATAATATCCCAATGAAATGTAAATATGCTGCAGACTTGTGAATTTTAATAAAGTTTTATTTAGTTTTACATGTTTGTGCACTCTTTTTTTTTTTCTACATAGAAATGCATTTCAGTGTAACACACGAGGAAGAGCTCTCCACTGAACATTCAGGGGATGTTGGAAGATTCCCAGCAGGGTCGGTACACTCGTCCTATCATACACCGCAGCACTAGGAGAGCGAAGGAAAGATTGCAGAGATTTAATTAGTGAAGGAAATAGAAATGTTGAACAGTGAGGAGACGGTTTTTCCAGATACTCACTGTTGAAGTCAGTGTCTCTGCGATCTATTTTGAAACTGTACTCGGCCGGAGCGCGGCTCAACTTTTGGTCTGCGAGCAGGGGAAGGCTCCGGGTGAGGACCGAGTTCAGCCCACGAGTACCGCGTCCCCTCTGCCTCATGTCCTGAAACACAGCATTGATCTCTGATTACACATGACACCGCACGACCACACAGATACGACAGGCCGTGAACTCTGGATCGGCGAGATTCAGCACATTTGCTACAGCTTTTAAAGATAATCTCTTTCACTTGCAGCACAGGTGTTGGATCTGCCTCTCACCAGCTGATCCAAGCCACAGGAACCCCCCAAATGGAAGAAATGTGTTTCCCCGTTTTTACGGCATCACAGTGGCCCGTTTTCTTCCACAGCCCCAGTTCACCCAGATGACTTTGTTCTCTCCACCATGGCTGCCTGTTAGCCATTACCACAGAGATAACCACCATGTTCATTACACACAGGGGACCCAGCCGCCAGATAAACCCTTTACACATAGCAACCGAACGTTTGTGGAAGCACAGATATATAATCATTCTTCCCACTGAGATTCCAATACATTTATAGGCTTTATGGGCTTGTGATCATTTGACCTTTTCAGTTTGTGGTACTTCCCATTTTCCAGTGCTGTCATAAAAGATTTTCATAGATGTGTGTGAAATATAGACTTAACAGTGGACATGAGGATGGGGTCAAATGTTCGAGCACAGGATGGAGATACTGTGCTCTTTGTTGTTGTTGAACTTAGCTGAGTCGTAGCTGAGGTTGTACATAAAGAGGAATCTCACACAGTGAAAGGTGCTGATGCGTGACTGTCACTGGCAGAATGAAACCAGCTGAGGAGACGATGGAGAATCGCCAGTCGGCTTATTTGGTGCAACTTAACCGAGAAGGCTCTAAATAGCTGGTGAAATTGAACTGAATTCACTTGGAACAGTCTAACAAGAGTAAAGGACTGGTTCACCCAAATGACAGAAATATTTTTTTTTAATTCCAATAAAATGGAAGATAATGTATTTTTCAAAGAGGAGAATACTTAAGTTTAAGGGAATTAATCAAGAAAGTTTGTGTTATGAACTGGAGGTGTGGAGGTTTTGTTTTCTACTGAACCTTTCTGTGTTGAAGACATACTGTAGTTTCTATTTAAAACTGTTCACAGGATATTCTCTTTATTCTAATTGTGCCAAGAGTCTGATTTCTGCAAGAATTTGTTGTTGAATTTATTTTAAAAGGTCATTTTTGAAGCAGTGAAATTCTAGTTACTTTCATTTAATTGCAATCTAAGGCAGACAAACAAAATGAAAAACCATTTGCATGTTAAAATATAACCATATAAACAGAAAGCAGTATTGGGTTAAGCTTCCTCAGCTTCAATGTCCAAACAGTCTTGAAAAAATGTTACTCACCGAGACGATGATGATTTTGCGGTTCCCGTCTTCGTCCCTGATGCTGTTGTCCAGCATGAGGCGTCCTCTGTATGCAGGCGGGACCATGGCGTGTTCGTTAATGGGGTCGTCACCCAGTAGGGCACTCAGGCCATCTTGCTCTATTTCGCCATCTTCTACTTTAGTCGCCGGTGAAGCTACAGTTAGCAAGTGGCTGTTCAGCTCAGAAAACAGCACTAGCGTAAAAAGGATGGAATATGCTGAGACCATGGTATCTACGATATTTAGCTCTGAGGGCTGTCACTGATCTCACCTCGCCTGACGACTGTGTAGACTGGGCAGTCGGCCGCTTTATATACTGAAGGAGTGATTCTGCTTGATTGTTAAAGGTAAAAAGGCATCATGTCTCCTGCAGGGGTACATCCGTGTTGAGGGCCAAAGGTCACAGGACGTTTAAAAGAAATGTGCTATGACTCCATCAATGTTGTTCCCGTGTAAATGGGTTCACTTCTCCTATTTTGAAATGTGATGAATTCAAATGGCCAAAGAGGGAAAAATATAATGGGCTGTAATTCCCTCCACATCACAGAGCGAGGTCAAGAAGACTCACAAGAGGTGAACGGGCGGGAATTAATCCTAAATCTCTTCTCACAAAATCCACACGCTGAAATGAAGACAGCAGGTGACAGGATGGAGACGGAGAGTCGTCATGGTGAGTCCTTTTCTCTGAATGACATCAGTGGGTGCACAGGGCTGAACTAAATCCTATGATGGACAAAAGGTCAGGAACCCATGAAAACCTCCAAACAGAGACTAATACTGGCAGAAAATGTAATCATATTAAAGGAATAGCTCGACGATTCCCAGAAATATACTAAATTGCTTAATTTTGATTCCGCTGGTTCATGATGCTCAACCAGGACACTGTTAGATTATCAAACAGACTGGAAACAGATTGAGACAGTATCCCTGGTTTTGACCAAAGGTGACAAAATCCATCTAAATGCAACTCTCACTAATTAACACGTTAAATCTTGTTAATGACTCGACTGAGTCTCGGAGTCAAGCCGATAAAACTCACTGATAATGCAGTGATTATTTTCTCAGAGCTCTGACATCAGGCAGTTAAACCTGAGTGAGTAAATCTGCAGTTCTCCCACGCCCACCGTCCGATGGACAAAGTGGGAAAATTAAAACGTGCATGATGACTTATTCAACAATTTGTTGTTCCAAGAAAGTGATTACAGAGATTCTGGATCTGCCCTTCTCCTCAGCTACGCCAAAATAAATTGGGTTATTTCTTGGCCTTTGTCCCACCCCTCCAACAAGTTTCATGGAATTCAGTTCAGCCCCTTTTGCATAATCCTGCTGATCAACCAACCATCACACCAACTAACCAGCCAACTACCTAACCAACTAACCAACCGACCAACCAGCAGATAGACAGGGGTGAAAACATAACCTGGATGGAGCTAATGAGAGACTTTTTTTAGCGATGAAATGTGGTGATCATTATCAACTGATGATAAAAGGTGGATGCACATAAAACCGAAGAGCTGTTGCATTGACAAAGCTCATCTCAGTCTTCTTCTCAGCTCAAAGGCTTTACCTACAGGAGCCGCGGTGCATGGGTTGGAGAAGTGGGACATGAATAATAGCTATTGAACTCAGCTGAAGTGATTTTACTTGGAGCAGTCAGCCTTTATTTTGTAAGTATTATTGTTGGAGGGTGAGGATTTCTACTGAAGGACTGAACTCGTCCACAGGGGCACGGCTGTTCCAGCAGAAGCACAACTGAACTTGTGAGCTTCGTTCTCTGTTGTTGTAACCTTTCTCGCTCTTTCTCTCGTACTGATAGTGTCCCCTCCCTCCTCTCACATATTCCTCCTGATATAGGCCACGCTCTTGAACTGATATTGACAGGAGATGCACTGCAAATTGCTGCAAGTCCAGCTGATCCAAAGCTTCTGGGCTCTGTCGGCTTCCTTGGCAGTCAGAGCTCTGAAGATTCAATGAACTCTGAGCAATGGTGAAGGTCTTTATCTGGTAACTGTGATTTTTCCCTGGTCTGAATTTCTAAGAAATCATTACCATAATTCTCTAACAAAGAACATTAGCAAAAAAAAAAAACAAAAAAAAAAGACAAAAGCCAAGAGTCAAATAATCTTATGAGGACCAGATGTGATCCGGTGGGTATCCATGAACATTAGTAAATCTTCGTGTTTCCAAAACACAGCTCGTCAAACCTTCAACCGGTGCCAGTGAAGTTTATTCAACTACTGTGCTGTCGCTGATTTACAGTCGGCCTTGTTTGTAAGCAGCTGTAATTGCATCCAGGTTTGATTTGGGTCGTGCATGGTTTACATTGTGAACTTGAGGAAGCTGCAGAGTAGTTTTCTCATCAGCCCTGTCAGCTGCTTGCATCACCTGTCAGTCGGCGGTGCAGCACTTCAATCACACCGCCTGCAGCTTTGTGCGTAAAGAGACCTCATAAATCTGGGCCCTATGACATCAGTAGCAGCATTGTTTTATAATCCTCTGGGGCGGGCACATTATTTCCCCGTCCTGTATTAACATGCTGACTCTCACCACCAACACTCATCCTCCAACAGAAAATAAGAAAAGTAAGAAAAGACAAACACAGCACGGAGGGAAGCGTTGATTGCAAGTACGTTCATTGCACTGATGCTTCATGTACGATTCCTCATGTCTATGTGTGCGTCTTGAGTTGTGCCAGAGGCCGGCGTGCTGTATTCAGCAGAGATGCGGGTGAAGGAGGGGGGGGCATTTTGGGCAGGATTTTTTTGTTGCCCAGAGAACAGACCATGGTTTCCTGGAACAATGCAGCTGATGAGAGTCTCTCCAAGGAAAATAAGGCTCTGACATCATGGGTTCTTAAAGCACACAGCTGAGCCAACACTCTCCTGCTATAATCAAGCCTCAGTGAATTTCCACTGTCGACTGAAATTGAGAAAGAGGGAGATTCTCCTCCATTGGCTTCAACACTTTTTTTTTTTTTTTTTTACACATGCCTTGATCTAACTGCTAATTTTCCCGTTGAAGCACGGGGCTCGGAGCGCACTTGCTGAGACTCTTGTGTCTATTTCCATTTACATCTGGCCTTGGCTCACGATGATGATAAAATGTGACACAAGGCTCCTTGTAAATTTGTCCCGGTCAAGTCATCACAATCCAAGGTTGGACCTCCGACAATATTTGGAATTAGACACAACAAGCGCGAAAATTGACGACATCGTGGTGCAAAAGTTAAAACCCAGCAAAAGCGAAATCCTGTGTGTCCTGCTGGAAAAAAATGAATGGTTGAAGACTGATGAAGCCTTGCAACCACTTTTCCTGTAAAATAACCAGTAGAATAAGTAGTAAAATTGGTGAGTGTAGTAAAACAGACCACAAGGTCATTCAAAAGACAATTGTGTGCTTAAGATGAGGAGTTGAAGAGTGTGGAGAGATTGAGTTTCAGGGCTAAGACCAAAATCTGTGTCCTTAGATGCACTGGATCCCGAGCGCACACAGATCAATTGGAAAAGTTTGTCTTCTCTCCAGAACCATCCTGGGTCTTGAGGTCATTCCAACAGCTTTGATTTGCACTTCTGGAGTCACCGTGTTATCCAAAACATTTTTAAGCTATCCCGATGTTTGTATTTTATAAGAATTAAACCTGGACGATGGTTTACATCCGTATTCACTTCAATAATTGCCTTATTTGTAATGGCTTGGTTGTCCGCCACAACCCAGGCCTCTCTTCACAGAATTTCTCCCTGAATCATTTGAACTCCTAATTTTTTGCAAGCTCGCTGCCTGCAATTGAACCATTAGGGTGAGATAATTGATTCTGTATTAGTCATCAAGAAGGATGAAATAACATCCAGGATGTACGGGATGACCTGGACTTCGCCAACCTCCGGGCTGCACCGCATTTTGATCTCTGCCGTCTGCCGAGCGCCGGCCCGGAGAGCCAATTTATCAAGGTTTGATTGTTGTCCTACATTCAGTGCATTCGTTTCAAGAAGTGCTGACAGTGAGGGAGCTGGGCACTGTCACTGCGAGCATCCTACAAAGAGCTGAACATGCAGCTCTGGCCTCGGGGAGCACCACGCCCCGGCTCTGTTTGCTCTGGCAGACCCCGCCACCTCTTAGGAAGTATTACTTTGTCATTCAGCACACCCAGCACACTCAATTTCATCCTGCACGGTGCACAAAGCCTCAGCTTGAGTAACGGCTTCATCTATAGCCGAAATGCATTAAAAGATTTGTACACGCTTACGAGAGAGAAACCTCTGCTTTGTAATTATCTGCTGTTTATGTGTCTGAATCCACAGACTTCCTCATAAGAGTCGTATAGTTTACCAGTGTAATAAGTGTAATACAGGGAGTAAAGCCTTTCTACGATGATGTTTCCCCGGAGGTTTTATGTGTGTACATGCATTGTGCATGAAAAAAACCCTCCAGCCATTTCTGTGATGTTGACAAGTGGTTTATTCAGCAGGAATGGTGAACAATTTGTCAGTATTTTTTTTCTACAGAAGGCAATCAAGCACCATGAATAACAGCGCTGTGATCAAACAGTTTCTTGGACAGTGAGCTTCAGGAATTTACGTTTTTCTTATTTAACCCCCCTCCGTCCACAGAGATGTGTATTTCTCACACACTCCCACATTTTAGACTTTGTTGATTAGTTCACACAAGTGACAAACGGAAATATTTCATAGATGGTTTCGGAGTTGGTTCCTGTAGCTTTCTTCATCGCTGCTCCAAAAATTCCAGACACACCATGTGACAGGCTCATTTTTACTATCTATTACATGAGCTGTATTTCAGGTACCAGAGACAGTGTGTGAAGGGTGTGTTGTAGCTGCAGTGCAGTTCAGCCAGGGATGGCAATAATTGCTATTTAATGATCTAGTCGTAGGTTTAGTTCATGACTTAATAATGCTGAGTGAAGTTCATTTTCCATCAAAAAGTCTTTGGTTTGTACTGTATATCTAAAGATCTAAGAGGAACAGTGATGTCTTCCAACCTGCGTCTTTTTCATTTCAGTCGCCAGGTCAACCGAGTCCGAGAGTTTCCTTAGACACCAAAGCGCAAAATCTCCATTTTAAAACCTTTATCATTGTAGATAAAAACATACTTTTAAAATAAGTTTCGATTCGGAGAGCTGCTAACAAATGTTTTGGACAAAATGAATTTCAGTCCTGGACTACCCTTAAAGCGATACTAAGTAACTTTTGAAAGAAGAAACACAATTATTCAAAAAAAAGGAAAAGTTATGAGCAATAAAATAAAACTTAGCTTAATTTAATACTTTGGGGTTTCATTGCTAGAACCTTATTTTACCAATTTTAGCTTTGTCTTTAAAAATATCCTTTATTTTCGAAGACTTAGCTGCAGCTATAGTGCTAATATATCTGTAAGCTGAATATAAAGCTACACCCTTTTTAGTTTAGCTTTGCATAAGGACTGAAAACAGCTTGGTCTGTCCAAAGTTTTTTAAAGAACACATGGACAGGTACTCTAAAACTCCTCAATTAACAATTTTATATTCGTATATAGTCGTATCCTTCTTCTCGTCTAAAGGCTAATTTATGCTTAACGTTGTGGGAAGAGCCTTATGTTTGTGCGTTCATTTCGTCCATATTTATGCGTGTCTTTTCAAAGCTTACGCATATGGCCGAAACAGGCCCAACTCTGTGCTGCCCTCTAGCGGATATGTTTCTTAACAACCATGCCAACGTAAAAGACGCATTGGAGGGGCAGTGACAGATGGATCGTTAGAAACAGATGTGTCTCTTCTCGTACGTAAAAGCAGCATAAATGAGCCCTCATCAAAAGAAAACACGCAATTTAAAATTTCAAACTATTCCTTTGCATTTGCTGTTCAGTACTTGTGTGCCTCCTGCTCCAAATTTTAGCATTTTAGTGATAAACATGATGACGTCTTTAAGGCATCGGAGTAACGACAGTCTTGGGAAACAGAGGAAAATCCAATGCGTGATTGATTGTCCTGTAATTATCACTTGTGGCCAGAGTGGCCGCTGTCCAGCAAAAGTTATGTAGTCTCGCTTTAAGTGATTTTAATCGTCAATACAATGGATTCCAGTGAGGTGCATGTGCACACACATCTCAGACAAAAGCACACCATGACTTTTGACAATCTCAATACAATTGGAAGAATCACAGTTCACAGTACTTTTGTCAAGTTATTTGGCATAAGGGATCTATGTTGAGAAAATAATTTAAAAACAGTAGAAAAAATAGCATTTTGCCTTCTTGGGACCACAACATGGTATTTTTCTTATCTTTAATTCTCCATGCATTCACAGATTTCACACAGATACATTTACTCGCTTACACTACTACCTTATTGAAACAGCTTACAAACAAAAACACTATTAAAATGGTGGCCACAAGGCTGTGCAAAAGGGAAGACCTCCGATGTAAGCCCTGCCATCTGTCTGTCTTAGCCATCTCTTGCCATTAACAAACTACAAAATAGCACCATTATACAGTGGATAGGATTCTTAATACAGTTTTTTATATGAAACCATCATGTACAATGAATGATAGCAATGCATAGGTTAACATAAATGGGAGTACTGTTTGATTATACACAGGCAGAGGAGGCAGAGCCAGAGATGAGATGTCTTGCGCGGTTTGTGCGATAAAATGACTGAAGATTCGCATCGGAGGCTTGAACAAACAGCCATGACTGTCCGTCCTGCTGCAACGACTTCTCAGAACTGGCTTTTCATGTGTGTGTGTGCGTGTGTCTGTGTGTGTGTGTGTGTGTGTGTGTGTGTGTGTGTGTGTGTGTACTTGACCGTTGCTCACAGTTACACAACTCTCATTAACACTTGGTGCGCTGTATGTATTTGTGTATGTGTGCCTATCTCACATGTCCAGGAGGACCTGTTTTGGTTTATAATATTGACCAAACCGTTTAATCTGCAGATTTTTCCGGTGGACTTTGCAATGGAAGAGTTTTATTTACTCTCCCCATCGTGGCAGATAATGCAGTCCAAGCGACAATTGAAGCAGCGAGGTTCACAGCCTCCCAAAACTAACAAAACATCACAGGCCAAGATCGTTCAATCGTTAAAATCATCTGTTTCAATTGACTAATGTTACCGCCTCCCTGTCTTTTGCTTTAAACTTCGTTATTGACAGATTCGGGAACATTGTGTTAGTTCTTCATGAGAATTAAAAGGTTTTATAAGAGTGCTTGTTGACCAAACCTTCATGACTTGTGCTTAACCTTGAACTCAGGCCTCAGACTCAAATGTTGATCATTGTGTAACTGGATTGTTGACGTTGTCGTTGATTTGACCAGGGTGGCGACGTGAAAAGGATGCAGCAGGCAAACATTTTGCTTTGCTGCTATTTGACTTATTCCACTCACTTATGCCAAATGCACTTTGAATCCACTGAATGACCCATTTGTGACAACCAAACAAGTACCATGTACTGACTGACCAAGAAAACCCAACATTTGATTAATTTTGTTTGTGGTTCATTTGTTTTTCTTAAGATCTTATTTTTCTAGTAACTACAGAACATCCCACCTCAAAATCCAATCTGATAGTGCTTGATTTGTTAAGATAGATTTTCAACACTTCCTTAGGCTTAGGAAGGATTTGGATCGGACTCAAACCTTCTAGTGAATCCATTTAGATATGAGAACCCTGCGTTCAGTCACAGAGAAGAAGAGATTTAACTTGGGCACAAGGTAAAATATCTACAACAACATTTAAAGTCTGATAATGAGCCACCTGGTCTTTGTCCTTAAAACAAACCTTGTTTAACTCTTTTAGAAAAATCCTTGGTAATGCATGGTGCATGGAACAAACTCTGAAGATAAGATAATCAGATTTTTTATACTATTTTGGGGAAGTAACTGTTAAATATGATCGGTGATAAAATATCCTGTCTTATCAGAGGAGTGATTGAATCACCTCTCAGAGTAATAGGATTTACCTCCACAAAGTTCAAGCGACAGGATTGACCACTTATTGTCAAACACGGCCTAACGCCCAGGACCTTTCCTGGAGCCAGGGGCAGCGCAGCTCACACATGGAGGTATAATAAGCTCTTGGTCGTGTCTCAGCAGCTAAACTAGTCTGTTACATTGCATTAACAAAGAATTCCTCCCGATATGGAATGGTGCAGTGTATAAAATAATCACAAGATCCCTCATCAAACCCTTCAACACCCACTCAGCTCTCTTAGGTTTAAATCATTATGAAGAGCTTTTCGAACCATCGTTAGCATCCTCTTTGTTTTGTTTTACAGTGAACCATTCCACAGGGGTACCAGGTAAGGCCACTCCCTTCTCTCTCCCCAAGTCACTGGGCATGTGTCCATTCGCTCCGTCCCTACATTCTGTAATTTCGCCCGCCCGTGTTGCCTCGACTTGAGTTTTTCTGATGGACTTCCTGCAATGAAACAAACAAACAAACACAAAAACACACAGTGACTTCTTTGGGTCTGAAATTTGCACAAAAAGCACGAGTTACAAACAAAACTAACACTGACTAATACTCAGCGCAATCAGTAAAATGTTACTAAAGTTTGACGACACAGCTCCACATTGCCATTTTGACGTAATTCGCAGCTGGAGTCTATACGCAGATGTGACCATGATGTGGCGCTATGGTGTCATGGCCCCGTCCATACGCGCTCTCGACCAACTGTGACAGTGACAGTTTTGCTTCTACCTAGAATGACATTAGCCATCTTCTATTTGACGTTTCAATTTGTCCCATCTGCTAACATGGGGAGGTTGGATTTATGGACTCGCCACCAGGGGGCGATGAAAATACTTTTGGTTCTCTTTTGAGGGGCTGTCATGTCGTCCATGCAGTAAGCTGTTAGCAGCAGTAAATAGCTACTAAGCCAAAAGTATGTATACAACAAACACAAGCACATCAGCCACAGTTTCATTATAGTTTATATTTCCTGACACGAAACGTGATGAGAATTCACATTGTAGTTTGACTTTAGAGGAAAAATAAGATCCGTACAGGAACACCAGGGTTTACAGTGCACCGCAACCCCACAAATCAATGAGCAGATGAATGATGTGGAGGCCACTGCACACGTTGATACACCAAACATGATATGCACGCTTCATCTCCAGACCTTGCATGCGTCAGTGTGTTATGGTGAGACGCCAGAATTTCAGCACATAATGTACAGTACTGCCTGGGGAGCTGCAGTGCCACGGGGTCTACCACAAAAACCACTTAGTTCCTTCTCCTGCTAATGGTTTTCTTTTTTGAGAGAAGGGGGGAAAAAGCACACGGTCAAATCTTAAAAGGATCACACTCTCGCAGGTTGGCAACTCCAGGATGAAACAGACTCTGCCTGTAGAGATCACGGCTTCTTTATTTGTCCAAGGGATTAAGATTTCAAAGCTAAGATTGTTTGAACGAACGTCTCTCATTTCAAAATAAAGCTTGTTCTGCTTAAGAATGTCAAAGTGGAGATTGTGTGGTCTAAATTATATAATAATAAAGTCATAGCAATAATCATGAGATGAAAAGTATCCCTTTGAAAGCATACCTTAAAGGATGAGTGACTATGTCCCGGTAAAGGTCTCTGTGGGAGGAAAACGAAGCCACTTAAGTTGGATGGATTCATTTCTCTTGCTATGCACTAAACTGTGAGTAAACTTGAACCCTCTGAACCTTTACAATAACAGTTTGACCATTTGAAAAGTGCTGTAAAATGATAGGAGAGGTTTGATACCATTCTCATGTCTGTACACTGAATATTTAATGCAGCCATCAGCTGGATCAGTGGAAACGGGCTCGTCTGGCTCTGTCAGAATGTTCCCAGACAGGAAATAGTCTCAACAACCTCTGAAACAGGTTCCTCATTTTGGGTTTTGTTTGATTAAATATATAATATGTTGAAGCTCAGTATACAACATACTGTATTTTATCTGCTTTATCCATGCTAAACAAATACAATCCAGATAAATGAAATAAAATGAAATTGTAGTAACATGTGCATCAGTCCGAGTGAATGCTAACATAAATTGTTTTGCTGGTTGTAGTTTTAAACTAAATGAACAGATATGTGAGTGGTATCAATCCTCTGAACAGGTTAACATCATGTGTGCATACTTTGACAGAACTAAAACAAATCCTATTCTCTATTTCCCCCCCCTCTTTTTTAAAGAGTGCATCTGTTCGGTGTTGTGCTCACCTTCTTGTTTTTTGTCTTGTCTGGCTGCTGTGCTGTCCTACGCTCTGTGCCCTTGTCCACTTTGTGCCCTGCGGTACTAACCTTAGGTGCTCTCGGCATGTCTGTGTGGCGTTGTGCACGCACAGAGCGAGCTGCCTTGCTAGTCTTGGCAGGTGCACAGTACATCTCCAGGCGCCGCAGCTCACAGCTTTGGAAGCAGCACTCGTCCACAATGCCGCGTGACCGCCGTGCATTGGGGCCATAACCTGTTGGTTTACCTGAGAGGGACAAAAAGAGGAGGGAGAAAACAGAGGAGACGTTTACAACAACTTCAAAACTAAAAATGACCAGAGGAAAAGTGTTTGGAACGGATTAACTGCATATTTATCTGCTTAGCTCTATTGTTGGCTTAAGGATATCATTGTTTATTGGTTGCTAATGGTAGCTGACAATCACGACCACCAGAATTTCGAGTTGTACATCTGCCCACAACACTGCAAACTGCATTTGAACTGTGCAAGAATGGAAAGCTTGAATATACTTGTTGTAAGGCAGAGATAATGACCAGGACATGGGTCTGATTCCCATGATATAACCAGCCTTAACAACATTGATTTCTTCCATGTAAAATAGTATCACATTTCACACTATGGACCCACTCTAGCAGCTGCTTCCCCTGTAAAAAAATAAAAGGTGGTCACAGTCTCCCAAAAGTTGAGAACACACGCACGGCTCGTCCGGTGACGCCAAAACGAAAACCCACTGGGCCCAATTAACCTGCAAAAGCACTTAGGCAGGTCCTGAGGCCACACCCCTGCTGGCTGTGCCCCACTGTTCATTCACATTTTCATTTGGCAGAAGCCCGAGCACCCTGAGGGCTCGCTCAGAAAACACTGAGGATGGAGATGGACCTTTTATGCCAAAGAAGGAAGAGGAAGTCGTGGCATGCAGGGATGCATCGGAAATCTTCTTGTTGTAGCATAATTCAAAAAGACTTTTTAAAGGTGTCATTGCACCTCAATGGTCGCATCAAGTTACCATAACGACAAGACTGGCTTCCTCTTTCAACTCCCTGACCCCCCTCAAAACTCAGGCTCTTTTGGTGGCCTTTAGAAAAGCTCACCTTGAGCGTTATAGCCCTGATGGGCTTTTCCCTGTTACCAAATGAAATAATAATAATTTAATATGGCATTTACAAGGAGGAAATGCCTTTCCCTCTCAGAGTTAATAGCTCTTGGCTCAGAAGCCTGCCAGTGCTGACAAAGTGCATTAACTTCTGCTCTCTGTCTGCCTTGTCCTGACAATGTTGTTTTGGACAGAGCAGCAGCTTTCATTCAGAAATAGAAGCATCCTTCTCCCCCGGACCCCCTGACGGAAAACAGAGGTGAGGCTGAGGCAGGTGTGAATGAGGGGGAGACAATAGAGACGCTTTCATGATGCACATCAGGTAGGATGAGGCTAAAAATACGCCGCGCACCTGCATTATTTAGGGAACAGAGAAACTGGATTCACCCAGATGTCGGACTCCTAAAATAGACGTGTTGAAAGATAGATCTAAACCTTAATATAGCTTTTGACATCATTATTTTTATTTAATTCAAATGACTGACAGGCACACCTTATATGGTCAGGTATTCCACTGTGTTTTCCATTGTAGTTCGTTTCTGTGCTTTCAGGCATCTGAAAAAACACAACCTGCTATTTCTCCCCTGTGGTGTGTATCAGTATAACCAGCCTTGGCAGTTGTATTAACACCTGATGTCAAGACATTTTGAGAAATATGACAGTAAGCCCTGGCTGGAGATTATATAATGGATGCTGAAAGCCAAAAGAGGGGCCGTGCCTCATTGCCTGGCCCTGTTCTCCAATCCCTCCCAATAAAGCCTCACAAATTAACGTCCGCTATTCTTCTGAAAATAGCCTGCAACCCCGCTGCACAAACAGCTGGAAGGAAGAGGAAAAATCAGCTGGCGCCGGTTGTAAAATGTAGGATAATCAGCTCGGGCAGGTTGGAGAAAAACATGCATATAATAATCAGGCCTGAAAGCTTTGCGAGGTTTTAAATGCTTCAGTTGCATGAACGACTGCTGTAATCCCTCATAAACAAAGAGTTGTTTGCTCCGACTGTCGTTAAACAAATAAGGGTAAACAACATTTCCTGCCAGCGCTCTCCGCCTCACGGCCTTCTGCTGTTTGAGATGGACGCTGCAGGGATCGAGCACGGTGACGATGACGCAGGGTTTCGGATCGGATTAGAAAGTGTGTGTCAGCATTTCAGCCATCGTTACGTGGCAGAGTGCAGCTGGGGCTTATCATTCTCATACCAATCATGTATTACAGGCTGGGAAATGTGCAGGAATATACAATTTATGCACAATTACGGACGTATGGAATAAGATGCCATGTAATAACCATCAAACACTTATTATTCCCAGAAGCCCTCTCGTAGTGTCTATTGTAAGATCAGGGTTGGGCTTAAATATCCTTTGGTAGATCTTAATGATGGTAATGTTAATTTAACGCATCTTTCCCCTTTATCTCCATGTGTTGTAGTTCTTTTTCCAATGATACATATATCAACACGCTGTAATAAATCTACAAACGAGACCAGAGTGGAATTGATTCACTGATATTCCTTCACATTCTGTCGCACATGACATTGGTCTTAAATTGAATTCATAAAGTCTTCGAACAATCGATCCAATCCAACAACCAAAACCTGTAGAAACCCTTTAGCATTTGGTAAAATATGTGACAAAGAACCATATTTTGGTATTTCACTGGAAAAATTACAAATATCATGAATCAATTAATCACCAGCGAGTCTGTGTTTTGCACCCGCTGGCCTCAAGGGGCAGTAATGAGTCCATTATGGTTTTGCAGGCTCACTTTGAGTGACACGAGGGTGAGATTTCTATTTCTCCGTTAATGTTTTCAAACAGTTACTTAAAGGATAAGGACTCAGGTTCGTCTGGTTAACCGCCCCATCTCCATTAACGAGTAGCTTAGTGTTTTAAGGGACCCGGGAAACGGTTCCAAACGGGGCTGCGTTTTTCACATCGTGCTGCTGTCGGCCTGAACACAAACCCCGATGCTGCAGAAGTGGTTTTGGTTTTTGTGGACATTTTGATATGTTCTGGCGTATTCTCTTTTTTCCGTAACTCTCGCTCGCCTTTGAAATAAATTGTGTCTGCTGTGAATCCAGCTGATGTCCTCCGTGAGTGAGCAGGCTGCAAACTGATCAGAACAAAGTGTTTGATACTATAAAAAGTATTTGGCACGTTCAGAACACATTTATAGTGCCCATTCCTCTTCTCATGGTTTTGACTTTCAGTCTGATCATTCATTCGGTTGAGTTGTGTTCTGCACGGTCATCTCAGATGCTGCCCCTGTCACTGTCCTGCCTTTCTGGACCGAAGAATCCTCTGACCTGCTCTTCCTCTCACTCACCTGCTCACCTATTTCCACCCACCTCATTAGCCTCCAAGTATATTGGTCCATTTCCACTCACTCTCGGCCATTTGTTCCAAATGCCTTACCTTTCCAGCGCTCCGTTCTTTGCCTGCCTCTTTCGATCGTGTTTTGGACCTTGCCTGTGTTTCTTTTTCTGGATCTTGCCTCAGCTCGAACCTTTGCACTTGCCTGCTTAGATTTTTTTTTTTTCGAAGACTCGTCCATTTTAAATCTGCCTGATGACAGTATAATCAGGCCACCGTGAACCCAGTCCACTTGTTCTCACAGAGTACGGAGATGCTGGCTCAGGCGTTCTTCATCCCTGAGAGCATGTCGCCCTCTGAGACTCAAATATCTTCCCCAGAACTCGACTCCGGTGAGTCTGGCGGCTACTGGAATTTTTTTATTCACTGATCATTTGCCTAAGAACTCCAGGTCAAGTACACAGCTCAACCTGCAACAGAGAGAATGACAGGTGGATGACAGCACCATTAAATTCGAGACATTTGCTGCAGAAATTAAATTAAAGGAGGTCTTTAACTAATTCCGTTAACTAACCCCTGCCTCCCCGCTCCCCGTGCATCATCCTGGACCCAGAGGTCATGTCTGGGGCTCATCCCCACCAGTCTCCTGAGACCTCAGGAGGTATCAATGGAGGGGAGGTGGTTCTACCATCTTCTCAGGTTTCATCCTATCATTCATTCAATGTAGTTGTTTAAACATACTCGTTCATACATGTAGAATTACCTGATCCTCCTCCTCCTCCTCCTCCTCCTCCTCACCTGCTCCACATTCCCTCTTTAGCTCCCTAGTGTAAATATTGGTCCATTTCCACCTGTTGGTTGCCAGACTGTCTTTGTGCCATGTGCCTTAAAGTTTTCCAAAGCTTTGTTCTTTGCCTGCCTTTTTTGATGTTGATCATGTTTTGGACTTTGCTTGAGGTTTTTTTTTTTTTTTAGTTTGCCTCGGCCAGACCTTTTGTACTTTGTTTGCCTGCATGGAATTTCATACCTTTGTTTTTTTTTTTAAGTACAGGCGCTTTACTTTTACATTTGCCTCCTGAGTTGTGCTCTTGGGTCCATTTTCTGAGAACCATGACACCTCTAAGGAACGGCACTGGAGAGAGATGGCTGGATTCCCCCATTCCAGAGTGGTATAGAAAGCATCTGAGTTTTACAGCCTGGTCATGGTCAATAAAAACCAGTGGATTCTTGGAGCCGATGCATCGCTCTTCCTGCAAAGTGTCAGGCAGTTTACAGCCGGGCAGGGACCACAAGAGCTGCTAAAGCACTGGAAACTACCTCTTTATCACTGGTACCACAAAGAGTTTATGGCATGAGTGAAGTGTTCCTCACATTACTGCGCTGTGACACTAAAATCTGATCCAAATGTATTCCACCTAGAATCCAAAGTGTTGTTCACAACATTATCAATATAAATCAAAGTGTATTTATTGAGGGAAGGTTTTCGTTGGCAGAACATTTCTTTTTCAGAATTACTGCATTATATGAAAATAAAATCCCAGGGCTAATTTTAGGCTGGTTTTTGAAGTGTTTATAAATCTATGGCTCGTGTTCAGATCGTGTCAAAGAATTGGGTGAAAGTTACTTGTAATAAATTCCTCAAGTAAGATTGTAAATAATGGGTAAAATAAAACGGTGTTGGACAAGGTTAATTTATGCTTTTAAATTTAAATTTATGTTTTCAACTCATCGTCATCTTCATCATTTTATGAAGAACCTGCAGATTGATAAATAACAGGATGCAGGATTGCTTGTATTCACAGTATATCATATTGTCAAGGGGGTAAGGGAGAGTTGTTCCCTGTTACCATACGTACCACATGTGTTTATGTTGGAAAGAAAAGCTAGAATTTAAGTGTATTTCAGGTATGTAATTGGGGCTGAGACGGGGTTATAGTGTGAACAGGTGATCGACAGCGTGGGGTTGTTACAGCTGGAATTCAAGACAATTTAAGAGGCAACCTAAGATGACGAGAGAAAAAAAAGTCCCCAAAAAGTTCCAGGATATCAATTAGAAATCTTGATGATCTCTATACGCCCGACATTATGTAATTGGATGAAACTGATGAGGAGTTTGAAAGGTGAAGTAGTGTTTGGTACCAGAGTGTCCTCAAGTCCCTCAAGTCTCAACTTCACCAAAATGTCCAGATCCAAATCTGGAGGATGCCTGTCTGTCCTTTTCATGAGACGCCCTCTTTGTTCCACCGAGCAACGAGTCACAGGAGGGTCGGAGATTTTTAGTTCAGGTCTTAATGGGAAAACGACACCTTTTTTTTTTTTTTGCAGAGATGGGGAAGACACAGGAGGTCTTTCTTCAGATCCCAGTGCCTTCCGCTGTGTGCTCAGGTCCAGTGTACAGCTAGGGAGGGAGACAGGGCGGGAGGGTGTCCTGATCATCCTGTAATCCACATAATCCCCTGCTGCTGAGGGACAAGGCCGAGCTATGTGTCTGTTTGAGCGTGTGCATGTGTGCGTGCATGCATGTGACATGCTGTTTACACATTCTACCTCTCTCTCTCTCTCCCCAGCTCTAGAATAAAATCGACAGGGACGAACATTGAAGATCAGGTCTCATCGGTGGAAGCCAAACGATATTTTCCTCCCCTGTCGTTTCCACCTTAAACAGGTAAAAGCCAAAACACCTAAAAATCGAGTATCCATGTCGCATATTTGGCCTCTTTTTGCACTTTATGAGAACTTCATGTACCAGCATTTACTTTCGGTCCAAACTAATGGATTGTTCCACCTCGTCGTGATTCACGACAGCGTTGGACATCATTCATTTTGCTGAAATCAACAGTTAGATTCTATATTTCATGCTCACTCTAGAAGAAGTGAGAACATTTCACCATGAACTAAAAGTGACTTAGGACATGGAGCTACTTAGCACTTACGCTTTAGCCAAAAAAACTCCCATAACAGATCTGATTCATGGAATGAACATCCCACAGAAATCACGGGGCTGCCTGCTACAGCATTACAAAGACAACTGAGGATTTCTAGGTCAGGCTAATAATTGGAAAAACTGACTTGGGTTGTGGATTTTTTTTTTCTGTTTCTGAGACCGCAGTTTGTTTCATTACCTAAAAAAAAAGAATTTCCACCAACTGGTATTTAGCATTTCTGTCAGGGTAGGAAATCTGCAGCCTTCTGGTGCATGTGTGCTACTTTGCTGGTGGCACGCGTGAGGTGGATTGGCAAAAGCAGTCTACACAGAAAAGCCAATGTCATTGCAACACCGTCTCTGGACACATTATCAATTAGAGGGTTGCCAAGTTCAACATGACCAGGCTGGAGGGGAAGAGTTCAGGGAGAGGAGCACGCCTCCTTTGGCCAAGCTGTTACACTCCTGTGTCCTACAGACGACACAACCCAAATGGAGTCTCCAGATATTTTTATGCAAACAGCCACTGGTACATGTGGCGAGCGACGCAGAGGAGAGAAATAAAAAAGGAATGACAGTGAAAATATGAGCGAGCTGGAGGAACTGAGGGAAGACGGGGAACAGGATATTTTCCAAGGTACAGCACCCTGCTGCTCGAACCTCATCGTCGTTTCAGAAAGAGGATGGAGTGCTCGTAAAATACACCTCTTTTTCAACACAGGGAAAATGTGGCATTGATACATGGACGCTGTGCAGTTCAGTGGCTGCTCAGTGTAGGGTGATGCAGGAAAGACAAATACATTCCCCCTACCACAAAAGGGTCTGTTTCTGTTTAAGAAGTGTATCTTGCATCAGGACCTGTGAGTTACAACTCAACACTTTCTCACCAGATGATTATGGACAGCAGTGCTGCTCTTCTGTAGCCTGGGAGAAGCATTTATAGAGCTGGAGTAAAAGTCCATCAGTAGCCAGCACTAGTTCATGTTCTCGCATCATTCAGCCTCTGGACAGCCTCATACGTTGTCAAAGCCTTAAACCTTTCATCCACAACATGCAGACACTTCCCTGGACCAACTCACAAACCTTCAAACCGAGATACAAAACATTTCCAACGGCTCTACTTGGATCAAAATGTGTTAATATCACCATTTTTTTCAAATCCAAGTCTTAAAGATTTGACTGTTAAATTATAAATAAATAAAATATAAACTTCTATTGCTCACTGAAGCTACCCAGAAGCAAAATAATGGCTGAACAAACTGAGTTTCCAAGAAAAAAAATCAGGGCCCGCATTCACTAAAACGTAATACTTGATCATGTAGACCCATAATCTTCCACACTCAGCCTAAATGAAGAGAACATGGCCATTTGTACACGAGAAGTGCTGCAGCAAAAGACTCCAAAGACCAAAAAAAGTCTTAACTGGCAGAAAACTGGCAATTGAGCAGGCTGTCATGACCACTTCACAGCATGTGGCGCTGCCAGCAGCATCTGGACGAACAAGACTCGCAGCTTTGCAGCAGCTTGGTGAATCTCCAACAGCTCTCTGGCAAATGCTGCACAAAGGGCCCGATGCAGAGAATGATGTTGACTGGTCCTGGAAAAGCTGCATGCAGGGGTGGAGGAATTTGGCAGAGGGACAGTAGGGTGCAGCAGCAAGGTGCATGGTTACCCTACTGCCAGACACAACGCTGATATTGGATGATTCGGCAAAAAATCCTATTACACTCAAAGACCTTTTTACCAGCCTCTAGAATTCTATACTCAACGTTATGCAACTACAACACCAGGGGTCAGAGTGAATAGAAGTGTGCAGATACATATGCTAAAGGCTCTTTCTTCATTTCTATTAACAGCTGACATGAATTGTGAGCTGCACGATCATCCACAACTATAGTTCCGACAATAAGCTGTGCAAGAACAAGATGCAAACATGCAGAATTAAATCCATGTTAGACAATTCTGCACCACAAATACAACAATGCACAGGTATTGAGACACTGTGACGAGAGATGCCTCAACATCATCGTTCTTATTCAGCAAAAATAAAATCAGAGCAGGAAAGCTCTTTGATTTTACTTAAACACACAGAGTTTTCAGTCCATGCAACAACAGCCAGTTGGGCTCTTGTAGAAATGGTTTGTGAAATGCTCACATACAGAAAACTTTGAGAAACCTTCGCAGGAGCAGTTTGTTGTTGCACGACAACGTGACAGTCGGTCCTGATGGAGTAAACAGGTGGTTCATGGTCTGAGACGTCAAACAGATGCAGACTCGAGCAGGGATGCTCCAGAGATGCCACAGTTGGTTGGTTGATCCACCGCTTTGCTTCAGACTGAAATATCTCAACATCTGTTTGGGTGCCGTGAGATTTGGTTCATGCACTCATGTTCCCCAGAGGATGAATCTTATCACCTCTGATATCACCCTTTAGTCCAGATTCCATGAAATTCGTCACCCTCATGTTAAACTGTGATTGTATGCAGCGTTTATTTCAACACTTGTATGTCCAGGTTTATAATCAAATTCCCATCAGCCTCAGCTGTACCGTGTCCTGTTCAGTGCTGAGTAGCAAGTGTTAGCACTAAAATGCTAAAGACTGAACCTTTGATTCAAAGACTGCACTTCTCCTGCCTCCTAATCTTCCATCAATCAGCAAGTTCTTTAGAGCGTGTATCTACAAACCATTTCAGTTTCAGGTTAAGGTCACGGCAATCGATTAAGAGAAAAACTGAAAGCACTATAGATGCTGCTGAGCTCCCACAGAAATCTTATATCTGTTTCAAACTGGCAGCTGACAAACTCAGCCACATGTGGAAAATCTTTCACAACTCTGGGACCGAACCAAACCATTAATAACGGATTGTTATGAAAAACCGTACGGGGTTCGAAAGGATGATCAATTCTCAGAAAAGTTAAAACAAAGGACTTTTGGTGGAGGGTTGTCAGGACATTTGCAAATTGGCTTAACTGATTAATGTCAGCAGAGGAAATGGGAATAATGAGGTTGTAAACTTCAGCTTTGTAGTGTTTGGGCCAGATATTCTGCTGATGTCCAGTCACGCTGCTCATCTCTGATGGAAAGATCAGGAAACATGTCCCAGGAAACTCTGGCTGCCGGTGGAACATTGCACCTAAACTCGGTAGCTCCATATATCCTGTGCTGCTCTGGGCTGGGTTGTACCCTTAATGGAAAAAAAATTGAGATTTAAATCCTGGATTCATGGTGGAGGGTTTTCTTTGGGTAGCTTTCCCTTCTCTGGTGGAAAAAAAAGAAAAACTTCACAGCAATACCTCCTCCTTTTTTCTGAGAGATAAAGTCAGCCAAATTCCACTTGAAGCCCACTGACAAAACAGGGATTTGCCACCGCGTACTTATCAATATTCTGTGTTTCATTTGTGTTCCTCGGGCTTCGGTGCATAAATGAGTTTTGAGCATTGACACAAATGAGTGAATGTACAGAGAAGATGTGAGAGGGAAGGGAGGAATGAATGGAGGAGAGAAAGAGAACATTGATGCAGGGAAAGTCAAGGCGAGATGTCAAACTGGCTGCTCTTTTATTTATGAGCTCGCTGGAGGTGGAGAGCTCTGGGACGGATACAGCCAACCTTTATGAATAAATAAAAAGGTGCACTTACTGAAATAAAAGCCTCTCTCTCCACACACAAACTGCAGCGTGTCGACCAGCTCCGCCCCGCACAGGGTCTCCGGTCCCGCCCCTGTTGCCGTCGGAGTCAGGGTGAGGACACACAGCAGTAGTGAGAGGGTGTGGCTACAGGAGATACAGCACATCGCACTCTGCGCACAGGGAAGAGAGAGAGAGAGAGGGAGAGCTTTAACATTCCCCCTGCTGAAAGGCAGAGCATCATCAAATCACACAGTCAATCAAAGAAAGTCACTTTTAAAGTCTGTGCTGGACGTTGAGCCATTGTGCTGTGACAGTTGTGGGCTCTGTGCCATGCGTAATGGCACCGAAGTACCAGCCAAGGTTGAAACCGAGGGGCTCGAGGCTGTTTCTGTATCATCCAGCACATTTCCCTCTGTTAGAAGGAATAAAAGGTTCTGGAGGAAGGTGTATTAAATGCAAACTTTCACTACATGCCACCGTTAAGGAGCCAAACAGGAGGCTGACCAGCTCTGATGCTCCGGAGCGCCTGTGCGCAACCGCTCCGAGCGCGTAAAAATTGGAAATCACACTTCTCTGCTTATCATCTGTCTGCTCAGCCCCCCCACGTATATGACCTGATAATTTAGCAACACTCCATTCTGATCACTGACATTTACAAATCTATCAATAATGACTCGTTTGTATTCTGGATTCGGCGTTTCACCTGTGCCAAGGCGCAAACCTCTGCGCATTGTTACGCACAGGACTCAACAGCTTCAAAATTGAAAAAGCAGAGTAAAAGACGCAAAAAAGAAAAGCGCCAGGGATCTTTCCGATCCAAAGTGTGAGATGGAAAACGGCTCTCCCGCCAAACCCAGCGGAGGAAGCGGAGTGAGCCAAATATACATAATAAAAAGAATAAACACAAGACATTATCCATCTACATCACGACTCCAAGTGCCCGTAAGTATTTCATGTTAAGCTCCCCTCTCTCTCCTCACCCCGCAGCATCAGGTTAAACATTTAGCACTTAATAATAATAACGCAGACTCAGCAGTAATTACTTTGAAAGTTGCAGAGCTGCCTGCATTAGAGCTTTCTGGTGAAAAAAGAGCGCATGCAGGGCGCACGGAGGATGAAAAACCCATCCATCCCCCGAGCGCTGGAACTCGTGCACAATGCATGCCAGGGTTTCCAAAAAGAAAAAGTCAATTCAATCAAAAAAGGGGGGCGATCTGTTAATATCACCAAAAACATGCACATGCACAGTAACTGCAGAAAAACGCGTCAAAATCTGCACAAATCCAACATTTATCGTGCACGTAAAAGCTGTAAAATATAAATAAGCAATTAAATATTCCCCTTTTATTGCTGCAGTTTACACTATGCGAGGATGCTGTGTGCAAATAGTAAGCGAGAAGCAAGGTGACAATGTATAGTGTCAAAGGAAATCAGGTAAGTTACCTTGAAGACATCACATAAATGCCACTGAAAGGAAAGAGCGCTAGACATCCCCACGGGTCTCGGCAAGTCAAAGCCCGGCGAAAAGGAACTTGTTTGAAGTCATTAAAAAACGGGGAGAAAGAGGATGAGATGCGGGCAATGTCACATCTCAATATTCCGACTTTGTTCCATTGCGCAGGCTCGTTTTGGAGAAGTGAGATTTAGCGAACAGGAGACGGATTTAGAGAGAAAATCCCTCACATTTATCTACATTACACAGACATTTTCAACAGGAAACAGCTGGGGCAGCATTTGCCTCCTACTCGTCCTAAGTTATTCATTAAGGATTTTGGGCACATATTCAAATAACGTCATTTCTCTCCTTTTTTTTTTCTCAGAACGGGATTGAATTTTGATCTCTCTCTAAGACTTGGTTAGTAGTTCAGATCAAGATAGAAAAAAAACGCAACCGTCCTACCAGCAGCAGCAGCAGCAGCAGCAGCACCAGCAGCAGCTCATGCTCATATATACAACACACTATTTCATTTCGTGCAGAATGTTCAGTTAAAAGGAAGAACTGCAGGTTTGTGATGTGACTGTTCCTGCGCTTAATTTGGCACTGCGTAATTCAGCAGCCACACTATCCAACGTCTGATGTGATCAAGGGTAAACTAAATCATTAGAAACACTTTTCCACTAAGTCAACATGAATGAAAAGGTTATTAAAGAACCCTACACGTGCACTGGAGTGAATATGGAAAGTTTCTTTTTTTTTTTTCTTCTTCTTAAATATAAAACAGAAAATATGAGCCAGAGATAACCAGCGAGTCTCTGCACATTGTCTGTGTAATTTGTTGTTATAAATCTGTCACTGCTTTTCTCTTCTCCTCTCCTCTCGCTGATTTCCAGTCAATAACAAGCAGGTTTGTCTGCAAATGACATCTGATGCTTCTGTGAACTGAGTGACTGATGTGAAAAAAGACAGGAGTGGAAAAACACAAAACACATGGGGATTTACGGTGAAGAGGACATTACTTCATTTTTTTCCTCTTTTTTTTTTGTTGCATATTTCATATTTCAGCCACCACCACTCTGGAGACAGAGCTGCAGAGCTGGATTCTTCCTGGTGCACTAACAAACACTAGATGGCACCCACTGGGGCCAACCACCCCCCCCAATATACACAAAATGATGGTGTTCCCACTGTGACACAGGGAAAAAAACTGCAATTACAGAGTGAGGCTTCACACAAGGAGAGGGCGTAAAGAGAGTTTTCAACCAAAATATGGGATATCAACTCAAAATGTCCATCTTTGCAAGTCACACTCTGAAAAAGTCACAGTTCTCCTTTCCAGGAACTGTTCAAAACACGTGCATGTGCAGCATTTCACTAGTATTCCTGCTTTTTAAGGGGTACTGGCTTGGTCGAAAGGGTTATTTGAGAAAATCCCTGCAACATATTTGGGAACAAGCAGAGTTACAGTTGTATTACCACATTTAGAAGAATACCAGACAAACTCTAGAGGCACAAACTGGGACTAAGCTTCCCTCCAATATAAATAAAGTGATGCTACAGGAAGGTGTTCTCACTGTGACACAGGGAAAAAGCTGCAAGCTACAGAGGGAAGCTTCACACGAGGCGAGGGCTTAGAGAGAGTTTTCAGCCGGCATGTGGGATATCTACACTGATCCAATCTCTAAACATGAGATCAGAGCTGTGACCCAATCATAAAACGGGACACCAGCGCGCATCCCAGCATGCTCGGCCAGTGAGTGTGTAAGTGCATCACAAGCAAGGTCGGATCCAAAGGGGACCGCGGCGGCTGAAGTCACGCAACAGTTGTCGAGGGGTAAAGTGGGTCAAAAGAGAAGCGCGATCAAATGTGTCCCCGTATGACACGGACGGCACTGAATCACGCTCATGGTACAGAGGCCACACACACGCACGTTTAACTGGAGCGTGGGGTTTCCAACACCAGCATCAGGGGCCCAGGAAAGGTCGCAGGACAAATCTGAAAAGACAGAGGCCACTGAGTTTTATAGTTTTTCACTTGAGCAAACTAATAAGAAAACTTATCAGCACCAGTGCAAAACATTCGATAAATTTTACCACAAGATTTGATCGTCTCTTTAGATTTCCGTCAAATCTAAAATGATACAGACCATTGAACCTGTGATGTAACATCTAAAGTCGGCACGGATTCATTTTAATGAGCTCCGAGCCAAAGAGAGCTGAGTGACACTGATTTATCTTGAAAACAATAAGTCGATTCAGAGATTAAGTCGATCGACAGAAAGTTTAAGATGTAATCTGTGATTTGGCAGCGAGGCTGGTTACCGGGGCAACAGCAAGAGTGGTTTTAAAAACGACGGCAAACACTTGTTGAGCAGCTGCTTCGTCAAAAATGTGACAGGAAGAGGAACAAACTAATGAGATTCACACAAGAAGGTTTCAAATCTCTGCTCTTTGCTTTGGTGTGAATAAGGGTCATGGTGTTCCAGGGGCAGGGGCAGGGGTGGGAACCAGGGGGGCGATGGCCCCGGGTGAAATCTGATTCTGCTCCTGTCAGGTCAGTAATCTTTTTTATCATTATCATTATTATTAAACTAGTCACTTACTGACAATTAATGTGTTAACATTTTAGTTTCTAAGCTCTCGTTTGCTTTGTTTCTGCAAAAATAAGCCAAAACCAAAATGTCCTCTGACCTCTTTTCTTCCACTGGAGCACTCGGGTCGTGTCACACAATCACAACGTACAGCGTGAGCACGTAAATCGTGAGCTTTGGCTTCACCTCAGACGATTAACTTGCACAGCGTGAGATGGAATTCAATATTTCTAAAGTCACGCTCTTTAGAAAAAAAAAAAAAAAAACCCAGATCGGCCGTGCACCGTGGCTTTTTCCTGCAACTCCTGACTCCACGTTTGCTGCCACACACGCGGCTCCGTGACCTCAATCTGTGACCTGACTTATTCTCAGGGCCGCTGGCGCGAGACGTGACGTGCACCCAACAGCGTCTCTTTGTGAATCCCTCCGGTGGATTGCGTCACCGGCCGGAGTTGCCGATACAACGTGGAATATGACGGTGATGATGCTCCTCTGATTAGAGGAACAAAGCTGCTTTCAGACCAGGGAGGATGACCCTGTTATCGAATCAGAGATCAGTGACGGTGGCTGGACACTGATGCCCGTAAGCCTCTCCGTCTCAGAGGGTGAAATCAGTGTCTCATCTCTCGCTGCCTCTTGACACAAAACATCTTCACGGCAGATTTTCCTGTTGTCACCGGAGCTGTGGTCTGACTGTACTGGTATATTGATGATGGGTTTGTGATGTAGATCTGCTGATGCAGGAGAAGAAAGGGGTGTGTGTGTGTGTGTGTGTGTGTGTGTGTGTGTGTGTGTGTGGGAGGGGGGGCTTGCTGACCTTCCCTTGTTCACCGTCTCTAATGCCCACTGCTCTGAACTGCCTCGTGCCAGGTTTCTCTCCCTCCCTCCCTCCGTGTCTCCTTTCTCTTCGGTTGCAAGACTTTTTGAGCCCCTCCACCACCTCCACCACCATCGCCATCTCCACTCCCTCAACTCCCACCACCCCCACCCCTCTCCTCTCCTCTCACAGCCTTGTCTAAGGAAGACGTCCGCCACAGTGAACTCATTGACCAGGGAAAGGCTTGTTTTCACTCCCTTCTGGTGCAGGAAGGAGAAAGTGTTCGCTGCAAAAAATGTCCATCTCTGCAAATACTGTGGAGGAAGAGACGCTCAACAACTCAAACTCGTACTTTAGAGGAACAAAACAAAAAATCAAACTTATCTAAAGTGTGTTCTCTTGAATTAAAGTGTTATTTCAGTGGTGATGAACACGCGATCTGCAAAGTTAGACATGCAAAAGAAAACTCCCGCTGCTGCAAACTTGGCAACAGGCAGAGTTAAAGTTGTATCCCCCCACATTTAGAACAATGTGTTAACAAACAGCAAAAGACTTTCAGGAAGACGGACATTTCTTGCAGCGTTAACAGCACCCCCTCTGGTGTCTCCTGCCAAACAAATGTCCGAGTCAGACGAATCCACAGATACAGACAGCAGCGCAGAATGCAAATGAACGAGAGTGAGAGGACGGAGGACGAATTAGAGTAGACGAAAAACAAGATAAAGCTTGAGAATGAAAAAAAAAAAAAACTGCGTGAACACAGGGAGGATGGGGGGCTGTGTGTGTGTGTGTCTGTGTGTGTGTGTGTGTGTGTGTGTGTGTGTGTGTGTTGCAGGGCTGGTACCCAAGATGGGAGGGAATGTGTGAGGGATATGTCTGGGCACACACACAGGTTTACTTGAGGAAACACACACATGCAAGCGCACACACGAAAAAACACACACTTGATTAGCGGAGCAATCCTTCTCTATTCTCTTGATTAGTCGGAGGGTTTTTCCAGCTCAGTGGTTTCTCTGTGTTGGATTCCCTCCTTCATCCATTGACTAAAACAAAAACACTTTGCAAAAACAATGAAAGTGGAGTATCTATTGCAAGTGATTGTAGGAAGAAATATATATATATATATATATATATATATATATATTTGAAACTCATATTGGTATCAAGGCCCTGCGCTGTGCCACACTCTTCATATGGAAGAAATAAAGGTGAGTCATGGAGCAAACGCAAGAAATGTGACGCATGTTTTGACACGCTAGGTTTCCGTAGTAACACGCAGGGGTCACAGGGTTTTGGCAGAAAGGTCAGGTAATTCCATCGAGCCTGGTGATGATCAGAACCAACTAGTTTCCAAATCATATCTCTGCTTAACTGTTTGATCTCCGCTAACGAATGAAAGAGACCACGACTGAAGGAGAGCAACGCTCAGGGCTGCCACTGGTGGGGCGCCATCTTTAATTTCAATAAACTGGAGATTAGACATAAAGGTTCAAATACAGAGGAATGAAATCATTGTTGTTGTTTTGCTCCCTGTCGGCTCAGCGGATGTGACTGTGAAACTAAATCTACTACAGTCAATCAAGTCGAAATGTTCATCAGTTGAAGCTGCTCGAATCAATTTTTAAACATTAAATTATCTGTAATCTGAAAGTGGCTGCTTGTTTTAAGAAACCAGGAGTTGTGGAGGCAGAGGGGAAAGAAAAGGATGAGGAATGATTCTAAAAACATCATGGATGAATGAGTGAGGAGCATCCAGAGGGTTGTGTGTTCATCAGAGTGACTGAACCATTCAACTCCACAAACGTCTGTGTCGAGTTTGGTGCAATTCGGACACGTGATACGGTCGATATTAAAAAAAGACTTGAAT